TGAATAGACACTTCTCAAAAAAAAAAGAAATATTAATGATCAAAAAATATATGAAAAAACGTTCAAAATCTCTAGCGATTAGAGAAATGCAAATTAAAACTACACTGAGATTTCATCTCACTCTAGTCAGAATGGCAATTATCAAGAATACAAATAATAATAAATGTTGGCTAGGGTGTCGGGGAAAAGGTTCACTCATACATTGCTAGTGGGACTGCAAATTGGTACAACCAGTATGGAAAGCAGTCTGGAGATTCCTCATAAAACATGGAATAGAACCATCATTTGACTCAGCTATCCCACTCCTCGTATAAATCCTCAACATCCTACAATTACTCAGCCACATCAATGTTTATAAGCAACACAATTCACAATAGCTAAGCTATGGAGCAAACCTAGGTGCCCTTCAACAGATGAATGAATAAAGAAACCGTGGTATATATACACAATTGTGTATTACTCAGCCATTAAGAAAAAAGACTTTATTATTTTCCAGTAAATGGATGGATCTAGAGACTATCATTAAAGTGAAATAAGTCGATCTCAAAAAGCCAAAGATCAAATGTTTTTGCTGATATGGAAGATAATCCACAATAGGATGGAGAAGAATAAAAATTCAGTGGATTAGACAGGGGAATGAAGGGAAGTGAGGGGTGAGAGGAAAAGACATAGAGGAAAGACAGGGGAATGAATCTGAAATAATTTTCCTATGCACATATTATATATATATATATATATATATATATATATATTTATATACATCATACTGAATTCCACCATTGTACAAACACAAAAATGGGATCCTAATTAGAATAAGATATATCCCATGTCTGTACAATTATATTAAAATGAATTCTATTGTCACATATAACTTAAAATAACCAAAAAGAAAAGAAATAAGCTACTCAAGCATTAGTCTACAACAATAAACTCCAGTTATTTCTATGTATTCATAGCTCTAATATCAACATTTTACAGTCCTACATAATGGGATTCTTAAAAGAGTAAAAACTACCTTTTGGCATAGCCCTTGAGCCTTGGGAATCCCAAATACACCTTAAAATTTTACACCTACCATTTTATGTAAGAATTAGGATAATGCCTTCTCTTGCTGTCTGCCTGAATTTAGAAATTTCAGCTTTCCTCAGACACACTAAATTGAAAGAACACACAAACCAATTTCTAAGGATGTATTTAGGAAGTCCTTCACAACAATTTTCTATATTTATCGTGTGTGTGTGTGTGTGTGTGCATTTTTTTAATTGAGGATTTAAATTATGAAGATTCCCTAGTGAAATCTTCACCATTTTTCTTTGCATCAATATGTCTTACTGTACATACCCAGGCTGACTCTGTGTTGATTTCCATAAGTAGAAAAAGCTTGACTTATGGAGGTAAAGAAAACTCCAGATTTGAAAAGGAGGTAATCTTGCCTCACCATTTTTAGCATTATTACACTCAAGTTGGAACTATTATTGAAAGGTTCAATGTAAACTTGTATGCTGGCCTAAGAACCTAACCATTCCACAAATTCTGTGCTAGGCTCTAGTTAGTGACTCAAATAGGTAGAAGTTGCTAGTTATAGTGTAATTACTATGCATTTTGTTTATATTATACAATTTTTCAATAAATTATGAAGTACATAACTATCTGTATTACAAATAAAGTACAAAAGCATAGAGAATTAACTGTCCAAAGTCAGAGTTAGTTAGACAACAATCTGCCTTTATAGAACACAGTGTTTAATATTTCAAGTTCTACTGGATTGGGCAAAGGATGGGAGAGGAGGGGGCATGGGGCAGGAAAGATGGTGAAATGAGATGACATCATTACCCTAGGTATAGACATGATTGCACAAATGGTGTGACTTTACATAGTGTACAGCCAGAGAATTGAAATGTTGTGCTTTATTTGTGTACAATGAATTGAAATGCATTCTGCTGTCATGTATAACTAAGTAGAACACATTTTTTAAAATGGAAAAAAAGAAAAAATAAATAATTAAAAATATTTCCAAGTTCCAAGTAATTTACAAAGTAATATATGATTGAGAATTAAGAACTTTGGAGAATAAAGTGACTATATTTAATCAGTTTTTAGAGCTTACAAATATAACTCATGCATTGGAGCAATGTTCTAACCAAAAATTGCCTAGTATTTTTACCTATATTAATCATTGGACTTTACTATTATGA